AGATCGGTGTTTCGTGAAAGAGGCCTTGCGTCCTGGCTATGGATTTTGATCACTTTTCAGCGTCGGTGCAGCCGGTGGTATGGATGTGAGACTTGTTATCTGTTATAGAAGGTCTGGGGAGCGTGTCCCACGGGAAGATTGTATAAGTGTGGCATGTAGTCACTTGATTGATTGAAGAATGAAACCAAGTATGAAGATTGTGGTGATACCGATAATTTGAGAATTTATGCCTGGAGGGCACTCAGTTTATTGGGTTGTGGACTGTGGAGGATTACTTCAGTTGTGATGGTTGTTCTTGTGTGTTATGGGGAAAAAGGGGTTATTATGGACTCAGAAAAGATTATTGGCCTAGTTCGGTACGATCATAATTGGCTTGAGGTCTGTGGATGAATTTAAATATGAATATGGGCTCTATATCAGGCCGAATGTGTTCGTTTCAGCATAGCTCTCCTTATGGAGGAGTATTCGGACGTTGGATGTTATTTTGTCGTCGGCTATTTCATATAATGCTATATTGTGCCGTGTGAGTTGCGAAACGGCTTAGTAATTTCTTATGTGTTGAGGTTCCGCGTAGCGATGGTGTTATGTGAGCAGGATGGCTCTTTAGTTTCAGAACATATATCACACCTCAGTTGTGCTTGAGTTTGTTAGCTTATAGCGCTACATGTCCCCTCAGGGATGGTATTATGCACTTAGCGTGCTTGTGACCGATATTCGGTATTGTGTTGTAATAAGAAATTTAGCTCGATGTGTCTCCCTATGTGAATTTTATGTGTGGATCGGGTGGAACGCCGCCATGGGTATGTTGTTTGGATCGGGTTGCACTCCGCAATAGTGTGATGATAATTACAAGTCCCTTATATTCTATTCTGTGTGTTTTGTTTCCATTTTCTGAGGAAAGTTCATGTTAGCTGCTTGAGTGGAGTAGTCCCTTCCAGAGTTCGTCTTTCTTATGTATCACGTTCGAGTTGGTAGCCTATTGGCACATTGTGGCATCATATGAAACTTTTGGTCATGTCTGGGGTGGCTTGTTGCCTGAGCAGTTTATACTGGGTGAGAAAAGGTTATTGGATCTAGGATCAGTGCAATCGGATTGTATGAAGTATATTAAAGAGCAAAGATCATTATTTGGTTCAGAATGAGGTAATGTTCTTGTCAAGAATGTAGCCTCAATGAATTGTTGACTTGGCAGTTAGTATGGATTTCTACACGTCTCTTCTGTCGTGGAGGTTTTGCAAGAGTTGGAACAAGACATATATATATCATGAGGTGGGTTGTGAGCATCAGATTCGGGGAATGTTGGTTATTATGATCAGAAAATGTTATTATGGTCCTGTGAATGATGTGGTGCATGGTGAGAATTCAGCAAAGGTATGCAGTCATGTTCTGGTACCTCGTGTAGTGATTACTACGCTGTTCATATGTTGGAAGCAGGCCTGGCGGAGAATTCCGGATGTTGGAATTGGGTTCTAAGCTTATTTGTTTGAATAAAAGAGAATATCTTCAGATTTGATCGAGTTAATGTGCTCAACTGAGCTGTGGTAGCACGGGTAGGTTCTCCAGGTGTTAAATAGTGATTTCGGACAACTCCGGTGCAGTTCCCAGCACGTTCGAGGACGAACATATGTTTAAGTCGGAGAGAATGTAACGACCCGACCGGTCGTTTTGAGCTCTAGCACGTCGTTCATCGGTTTGAAGCCCTGAGTAGCTTCACTTCAGGTATTATGACTTGTACGCGTGGTCGGAATTGAATTCCAAGAAGTTCGCAGTTGATTTAGAGAGAGAATTCTCATTTCGGAAGCTTTAAGTTGAAAGAATTGACTAATATTGGATTTTTGAGTAAACGACCTCGGAATCAGGATTCGAAGGTTCCAGCAAGTTCGTATGATGATTTCGGACTTGGGCGTATGTCCGGATCGGGTTTCGGAAGACCCGGGAGCATTTCGGCACCTGTTATGGAAGTTACCATTTTGGAGGAATTTCATAAGTTTGGGTTGAAGTGCATTTCAGTATTATCAATGTCCGTTTGGGATTCCGAGTCTGGGAATAGCTCTGTATGGTGATTCTGGTGTTGGGAGCGCGATCGGAAGTGAATTTGGAGGTTCGTGGGTCATTTTGGAGTCATTTCGCTAAAGATAGAAATTTGAAGATTTTTGAGAAGTTTGACCGGGAGTGGACTTTTTCACATCGGGGTCGGGTTCTAATTTCGGAAGTTGGAGTAGGTCCGTAATGTCGAATATGACTTGTGTGCAAAATTTGAGGTCAATCGGACGTGATTTGATAGGCTTTGGCATTGAATGTAGAAGTTTGGAATTCTAAAGTTCATTAAGCTTGGATTGGAGGTCGATTCATAATTTTTGAGTTGTTTGATGTGATTTGAGGCCTCGAGCAAGTCCGTAATGTGTTTTGGGACTGGTTGTTGTGAACGGACAGGGTCCCGGGGGCCCCGGGTGGATTACGGGTGGTTAACGGATCAATTTTGGAATTTGAAGAAGAAGTGATCAGCTGCCTTCTGGTGTAACCGCACCTGCGAGGTTTGGGCCGCAGGTGCGGAGCCGCAGAAGCGGCCAAAGGGTCGCAGAAGCGCGTTTGGGCAAATCTGGGAGGAACCGCAGATGCGAGGGTATTTCCGCATCTGCGAGCCCGCATGTGCGTGGTAAGCTCCGCAGATGCAGAACGCGTGAGGGGCAGCTGGGTCGCAGGAGCGGAAGGCACGCGCAGGTGCGTAGGCGCAGGTGCGTAGGCGCTGATGCGCTTGAGCGATCGCAGAAGCGGATTTCGCCCAGCTTGAAGAGGACCGCACCTGCGATGCATTTCCGCAAGTGCGGAGCCGCAGGTACGGCTGGTGCACCGCAGGTGCGGAAAGGCTGGAGGCAGTGAGTTGTTTTAAAGTCGGGATTGGGCCATTTTCTTTCATTTTTCTCTTGGCTTGGACGATCCTTGGAGGGTTTCAAGAGGGGATTTTTATCATCAATGGCAAGGTAAGTAGTTCCCATTCCTTATAAGTCAAATACACGGTATTATTACGTATTAAAGTATAGAAATTGGTAGAAACTTGGGGTTTCAGGGAAAACCTAGAAAATTCGTATTCTTGGATTTTAACTACGATTTTGGACATGGAATTGAGAGTAAATTATATATTTGAGTTCGTGAGGTTATGGGTAAACTTTATCTTCGAAAAATTTCGTAATCCGGGCACGTGGGCCCGAGGGCATTTTTGTCAACTTCTCAATTGGGGTTAGGAATTGTTATAAATTGGATTATTATGAGTAATTGAGCATATATTAATGGATTTACATAATTATTGGCTAGTTTTGGAGTATTGTGCATCAATTTGAGTCTTCGGAAGGGTGTGGAATGCCGATTATGAAACTTCGGAGCGAGGTGAGTCTTCTTTCTAACCTTGTAAGAGGGAATTGTCCCCATAGGTGAATTAATTGAATATGTGCTATTAGTTGTGGGGGCTACGTACGCACGAGGTGACGAGAGTCCGTGCGTAGCTACTATTACACTTAAGTCCGGGTAGTCTAGGACCCAATAGCATGTTTTACTTGCAGTAATTGAAATATTGTTGTCAATTTAAAAATGCTTAAAACATATTGCCTGTGTAAAATGATTTTTGAAAAGACCGGACACCGTTTCTTGATTTTTTAAAAGAGAAATTGTTTTTCCTTGAATAATTGCTCCCTGATGAGCTCTTGATTGACTTTTTGTTGTGTTTATTTATATTTGACCACGTCGCATGTATGATTCGCGAGCGGGGTAATAGATGCATCTATGGTTCGCGCCATTCGACCCTCTGGCAGTGCACAGTTTAAATATTGTTGGATCGGGCCGTACGTCCTTGGCATGATTTGCGCATGCTTGTATTGCTTGCCTTGAACTTTATTGAAGTGATATTGTTTCTTCCCGGTTTGAGAATAAATGTATAAGTGATGAAAAGGGATTTGGGAATTTCCTATAAAAGAAAGAATTGCTTACTTGCTTCACTTTATTGAATTACAATATGCTTATATAAATCCTCAATTTATTACATCATCGATTTATCATTATTGGACCACTAGTAAGTGTCGAAGTCGACCCCTCGTCTCTACTTCTTCGAGATTAGGCGGGATACTTACTGAGTACACGTTGTTTTCGTACTCATGCTACACTTGCTGTGCATTTTGTTGCACAGGTACAGGTATTTATAGCGGCCTACTGGGCGTAGCAACATGTATGATACGGAGACAAGGTGAGCTGCATTTCTCGAGGCGACACGCAACCAGTATAGTCTATTTCAGCGTATTGTATTTACTTCTGTCCAATTTGTATTCCGGACAGTGATTGTACTTTATTCGATCCTCTTAGTAATTGCTCATGCACTTGTGACACCGGATTCTGGGATGTCTATGGGATTATTCAGTATTTGAAATTGTTAAAGATATTTTTATTTATCCAGTGGAACTTATTCTTTATTGTTTAAATATATAAAAGAAGTAATTTCAGAGTTATCTAAAACAAGAAGTTACTAATTAATTAGTGTTGGCTTGCCTGACAATGGCGTCCTGCGCCATCACGACCCTTAGTGGATTTTGGGTCGTGACAATAAGTAACAAAGGACTGTCGCGGGAAAAGAGGACTGGTCAAAGACCGTTGGATAAAAGGGAACAATGTTGGTATATAAAGGGGGACTGGCTATGACCAACAAAAGCAACACTATGAAGCCAAGGGGAGAAGATTCCTCAGTTATCTTCGGCTTCCTTTTCATCTTTTATACTCCTTCCACTGTAATCCAAGTCTGTCACAGATGTAAGCTTACCGTTCTCACTTAATGTATGATAGCTATCTCAAGAAATATTAAATTAGTTTATTCTGTTCCCAATTTTTATACGCAATATGTTGCGATCTAGAGTTAATTACCTTTGGGTGAGATTTATCCTTTATTCTATTCATTAATTAGTTTAACGAGAAGTTTAATACTTTTTGCTCAAACACGTACCCTACTACAATGAAGGATGTACAGGAGATGAATATTAAAGTACTCTTTCAAATAGCACTTTGGCTATGTGCAAATTGATAGTTCTTGTATCACAATGAGCTGTATAGTAAAAACTTTTGGCAATAGTAAGAAAAGTGTCTTTAATATTGGCATCCAGATCGTCATCTGAACAATCGGATTGGGATAGCACGAGCTCCGCTAGTTGTTGCATGTCTGATTCTATCTCACTAAACGTCAACATCCCCAGCTGCTTTTCTATTCTTTGGCTGTCTGCATTTTGTCCCTGGATTTATAATTACACGACAGACAAGGACATCTGGTTGTTAATATCAGGCAATGCATATCTCTTTGGACTTTGTCAAGAGAAGAAAAAGGGGCTATACTACAAGAATGTATATATCTAGAAAGAGATTGCTACAAGAATGTAGTGATTGTGATCATTCGAATAAAAATGACAACTAAGTCTAGACACACACATAACTCTAGTCGTCAAAAGAGATTTGAGATTCTAAGTTAGTGAGTGCTTTCTAATAAAGACTTTGAAAGAAGAAAATGAATACGAACAATTGTGCTGATCTTAATAGATCGACTTTCATACTAGTTTTTGCTCCACCACAAAAGTTCAACTTCACGAAATTAAAGTACAACCTAATACTCCCTCCGTTACATCTTCTATAATTATTATTAACTGAGACTGAGCATGAAATTTAAGAAAGAAATAAAAGCGTTTAACAATATCAAAAGTACATTTAGAACTTGTAATTTAAACTAGCAAAGAACAAATAGTACTACCTCTGTTTCAATTTAAATGACACACTTTCCTTATTAGTCCGTTCCAAAAAGAATTAGACATTTATATATTTAGAAACAATTTAATTTGAACTTTTTATTTTACCCACTTTATCCTTAATGAAGAAGCTTTTATAGTCACACAAATAAAATTATGGCCCCACAAAGCTTTTATCCCTTAAGCTTTTAGAATCACATGTTTCAAAAATCTTCTTCTCTATTTTAAACTGTGTCAAACCAAACTATTTTATCTAAATTAAAACGGAAAGAGTAACGATGATATATTTTATAAGTTCCCTGTTAGATGAGTCTAACCTTGTAGAGGTGAAAGAGACGAAGTCGGTGACAAACTCTATTGGTGATTTCCATTAGCCTTTGATATTTTGGATGGGACAACAATAGCTCCGCCGACACCCAACGGCCAGTGCATGAATTTAACGTACAAATTATTAGTCCAGCAGCTCCTTCTCCCTCGACAACTCCACATCCCCATCCTATTGTCAGCAGCCACTTTTCCCACTATAGACATAACCATACAAATGTGTTTACAGTTGTAGTATCTAATTATTCATGAGAAAAGTAAGAAAAATTCAACTACTTTGAATTTGATGAAAATTTAGTATACTTACAGCATGACGCAGGTGCTGATGGATGTCTCTGCGGTGTGTCAGCAAAGCGTCCAGTGAGAGTTGGTTTAGGGTTCCGAGTATAATCGCGACGAGCTTTTGTTCTGCACTATACCTGCCATTGCCATCACTGAATAATCATTAGTACAATATTATGCGTACACAGTTAAAGTGTTAATTAAACTAACCTCTTTAGCTGCAATGACTTTCTCTATATCGTAACAAAAAATAAATTAGCCAAAGGTTTGCTACATGCCCTTACATATTCCGGGGCTAAGTCAGAGTAATAAGTAGTAGTAGTAATACTTATTGCTACAAACAAATTCGTAATGTAGTTATAATGGTTAAACATTTGTCACGCCAAAAAAAAATTTATAGCAACTGATTTTATTCTTTTATCGATCTTTTGGGGTTTTTTACACAAATAGCATTGCCGGATTCTTCATTCTTTTAGCTTGTATAAATAATTTATACACTTGATTTAAAATGGTTATTGCTAGGCATACTATTATACACTTCATTCTTCATCTTTTTTTATTGTACCCGACATATATGTAGCTTGCATATAAGCCTCGTGAGTACAAAATCAAGCATCAGCAAAAAAATTAACCTTGTTTAGGACCTTAAGAGTGTATTGACCAGAGGTGGATCCAAAATTTAAAATTTATGAGTTCAACCGTTAAGACTTTAAGCATTGAACCAATTGTATTTTAAACTTATAGGTTCAAACAGTACCGGTTTTTGCAATTTTAATCAATTTGTATACATAAATTTATGCTATGCATTGAAAATTACGGGTTTAGATGAACCCGGCACTTCTACTCTACCTCCATCCCCGATATTGATGCCATATGGACACAACACTTTACTGTAGGAGTAGTTAGTATATATATATATATATATATTATATATATATATATATTATAATATATATATATATAGTAATTTATATACTATAATATATATTATATATATATATATATTATCTAGAAGAAAGTAGGCACTAGAAATAGTCATTACCTAGAATTCATGTAGTGTCGAGTGGTGGAATGTGTGAATTCGTGAATAAAGGCAGTCTTGTGTTCAGCAGATATTTGTTTCTTGCTAAAGTAACATCTAACACAGTCCATAAGAACAGCAGTTTTGACCCAAACCATTCGCTCTCTTGACCTTTCTGGTTCAAATATACTAGATGTGGCTAAATAGTACGTCAACATCAAGCTTCTTTCGCTCACTCCAAATTCTCCTAGCCCACATTCTTTATACCACCTGCATGCATGAAGTTTTAAAACGTTTAGATAAAGTAAAAGACATGGGAGGAAATTGTCTAGAGTTATCCAAACTTTCTTGAAACCAATACAAACTTAGTTAATGATATATAGAACATAACAGAAGAAAAGATCTCTCTCTATATATATACACACACTAGCTAGTCGGGATAAATTTAGTATTATTAATATGCCGTATGAATATATTGCTTCTCTAGAGTATTTTGACCTTATCAAATATTTATATACTAGTAAAAATATAAAAAAAACTTTATACTATTATTATTATTATTACTATTATTACTATTGTTATTGTTATTAGTAGTATTATTTATATATATCTGACTTATTTTTTACTTTTATTTATATTTTGTATTAATAATATGAGTTAGCTTAAATGAACAACTGTGATAAGTGAGAACTCATATAGTTGATTTTAACTTGTTTGGGATGATGTACTGTTGTTGTTGCTTATCTTACTATCAAACGTGAATTAGGTAATGGAAGTAACTTACTTGCGAATTCGTCTCCACTCGAGCTGATGCAAAGCTTGGCAATTGCTATAGTCCGATTTTGCTAGCTCCAGATATAGGTTATTGTTAACAAATGGCATCCTGTATCAATAAGATACCAATTGTTGAAGAAAAAAAATTGGTAGCGGATTTCAGCTTTTTTATTTTAAATAAATCTTAAACGTCGAATTCCAGTGGTCAGTTTAACTGAGGCGTTTATCAATAGGCGAACGTTAAGGTGCGATCAAGATGACGGCTACTGAAGAGACTCTCCACCAATAAAATACATCAGTATCCAATGTATTATTAACATAAGTTGGTTATTATTAAAAGCAAGAGTGTTGATTTTTCCCAGTTGTCCTTATGTTTGCAGGAAACCACTATTTCTCAGGGTTTTTTGACTGCATTCTATTGTACGTAGCCGCTGGTTTTGTAGTATTTCTTGAACATATACATGAATGAGAAATCAATGATGAGTGTTCATTTGATAGAACATAACCAAACAAACATTAAGACACACATAAAAACTGTGTGCCGTCTTTTGCAAATTGTAACCTGAATACAGTACCAAATATGGTGGGGCTCCCATTACATTGGGTTTGGTAACTTCGCCACTCTCTCGAGGTTGACTCTTTATATTAATATATCCTCACTAGCTAGCTCCCTTAAGAAAACAACAGTTTCTTCATTATTTATCATATATGCGACTCCTCTTATTGTGACAGTTGTACAAGGACTGACAATATTTTTAGGAGATTTAAATTATATAGGTTGATAGTATAAACAAATATCTGTATTATCAATATAATACAGATATTTAAGTTATCAATCAGTGTTTATTAAATAAATTATATATGGTGATTGATAGTCTAAATAATGTTTACAGCATCCATCTAACTTTAATGATCATCGCTAAATTTTTGCACAGATTATTTTTGTGCAAGAAAAGGTTACTGTGTGAATAGGGAATATGAATCGTTAAAAATACCTATATAATGTTTTGCCAATCCACACATCGTCTTCACCACCATATTGTTCTAGAAAGAATCTTGTTTCTACTCGGGGCAGGCTAGCATACCATGGTACATCTAATGCATATCCCACCTGTATAAAAATAACCATGTTAAAATAGAAAATATTTAAGTTAGAACTATAATATATGAAGAAGATACTGAATGTGGGAAATAAAAAGAAAAGTACTTCTAATGATAAAATAGAAAAGAATAAAAGTCCAACTGCTATATATGTACCTCTCCAGGTAGGTCTTTTGTGATGATCCACTTGTCTAGCAGTTCATTTTTAGCTCGTTTTTCTCGTAGAAAATTAGAGGAGAATTTCTTGGCATTTTCAAGTATTTTCTCGCCTGGAAACATTAGCTGAGAAGCCCTGTAAAGATTATACATTCCTGTCACAGCCTGGTTCGATTGTCCCACGAAGCAGAAAAATTCACCCCTGTTCTCAAAATGTTTGAATACGTCTGAGAAAATAAGCAAGTACACTCATCAGTACAGATTGGTAATCGAGTTTAACTTCTATGTATCGATAAAATATAATTTTTTACACTATCATGATAAATTGACCCATAACAATATAAAGAGCAACTAGTTATGTAAACGAGACATGCATATCTTGTACTATTGGTAAATAATCTATTATAAAAAAGTTAAAATATACTACTTCAGCGTAAAAAATGGGTACGTACTTATCCTTGTATATAAGTTAAATGTAGGGTAATTAGGTGTATGGATTATGTTAACGAGACATGCATTTTAGTGAAGAAGAACGATTAACTAACCAGCAGAAACCACGTAGCCATGCAATCTTAAAAGTCTAAAAGCCATGGACGTGTCATCAATATCTTGAACTGGGGAATTTCTAGCCCAGCAGATTCCTTCATTTGTCCAATATCTAAAAACACAAAAAATATAGATATAATATTCCACAAGTCGATCACAATTTAAACAATAGTACTAGTACAAGTACTAGAAAAAGATAAACTATCACTGTCCTTAAAATAGACAATTGCACTACCTGTTGACGTAATCAATACATTCCTTTATTTCTGTCTTAAAATAACGAGAAATGCCAAGTCTTTCCAACCGGTCAACGATCCAAATATGCTCAAATAAGTCCACAGGATAGACATTTGGAACTGAATGATTGAAGAAAATTAATAAATATACAACTTAATTAAATTATACTAATAATATAAAAAATTATATTCTCAATATATAAGTTACCTCCGCCGTTGAATTTTTTAACAACATTTGCGAGATAAGTGAGGCAATTATTATCTTGAGTTTGCATAAGTGCAAAGGCAGTGGAAGATGGAGAAAACAGAAATGACCCATCAGCACATTGCAATTGAAGTAACTTTTGCCAGTCCAAATTTGGCATTCCTTCTAAACTGTGGAGTAACGTTGTGGGCACTTTGTGCATTATGTCCTTTGGTATCCTATTGCCACCCACACGTAATCATTACTCACATACATGGAAAGTAAAGTTGTTCTACTTTCTATTATAATCAAATACAAAGTGAAAATACACTAGAAGATTGGATATGCTTTAAAAAAATTTCATGATGTGAAGCATGAAAGATGATAATGCCTGGGCAATTCGAGTGCATGAGCTACTTTTTCCTGTAACTAGTTCTCCTTGTCTCATTTTATAAGATTATTTGACTCGACACTAAGCTTCCGTTTGGCCATAAGTTCTTTTTCACTTTTTTCCAAAAAAAAATGTGATCAATTTTTGAAGATGAATTTTTCAAATTCAAAAAGTGGTTTAGGACCAGCTTATCCATAGATTTTTATTTTGTTCTGAATTTTTTTTTTCAAAAACATATTTGTCAATAAAATTTGAATTTGAAGATTTTTTGGAAATGGATTTTCACCACTTTTTAAAAATTTTAGGAAAAAACTCCTTTCCCACTCACAAAACTATAATATACTTTTAAGTGAAATACTTGTAATTTCAAATATCATTTTTCAACTTAACTCCAAATACTTCTTCTTTTTTTTAATGTTAAATGCCTACTTAGATTAGATTTTTAAGTTCTGAAGTTTTTTACTCATAAAACTTTAACTTTTTTTCAAGTAAAAAATGCATGTGCGAATATAACTTCAACTTTCAAAAATTACCTTGTCAGCTTTAGTGTTCTTCTGGCATAGATCTCTTGCAAGACGGGAGAATCATAAGGAAAATCTAAGCCTAATTTTTTGCCAATCTCAATAAGTGAAGGAAATGCCACCTCAAATCCGATAGGCATGTGCTCTGCATTTTCATCTCCAATCCTGCTCAAATTCTCTCTTATAAACGACATTCCTATTCCAAAACCCCAGAAGACACAACTTTGTTAGGCCTCTGTCTGTTAGCGGCAAATTATCACATCGAAAATATACATTTTATTACTTAATCAATGAAATGGAATGTAAAGTCACCACTATTATTACCTAGTAGTTCTTTTATTTATTCATTTTTCTTGCATTATTCTCTAATGAATTTACACTATACTGTAAATTTTTATATTATTAATGCAATTTAACTGATTAAAATAGTTACGTACCGATTATAATTTTTTTTTTGCACAAATCGGTGTCTTATAACATGTAAGTAGTACGTTCTGACTTCGAACCGTCATCCCAAGAACAAGGTGGGGAGTTCTTGGAGGGAGGGGATAAAAATAAAAATAAAAATAAAAAAAGTAGTACGTAATCTATAAGAACTTTCATATAATCAATAAGTCAAATGGTGAGCATCCTTCACTTCCAATTAATAGATTGTAAGTTCGAGTCACCCCAAGAGCAAGGTGGGGAGCTCTTACAGGAAGGGAATAAAAAAAAGTAGTACGTAATCTATAAGACTATAAGATCTTTCGTATTACTAATTCTATTTTTATGGATAACTATACAACAACAACAATAATTCAGTAAAATCTTACAAGTGGAGTTGGGGAGGTTAATGTGTATACAAACCTTACCCTATTCGAGGGAGTAGAAAAGCTGTTTTCAATAGACACTCGCTCAAGATTTACCAAAAAAGACAATATTTAATGGACAACTATATATATATGTAATTATTTTGTATATGATCTAATAGTGTAAAACTTCTTTTACACGTCATACATGACATAAAATTCTTACCTGATTCACACTTGTGAGAATCAACATTCCATGATTTCAAGGCAATAACACAGGCCAAAGTGTTGATGACACGGTCATAAACCAAAAAAATAGAGCTGTCACCCCAAGAACCATCAGCCAACTGATTGTTTGCAATCCATTCAAGACTTGAAGGGAACTGAGGACTTTCACTTGTTCCGTTTACATCTTTTACTAGAGCAACCCAAGCTGTATCATAAGCTGATATACTTATTTCTCCATCGTCCATAGATCGCAGCATTAATCGGACAGCATCGATTTGTTCTTTAATCTTTTTGGCTGGGTCAACGTCGTATACCTTTTTACATAAATAAATTACCGTTTATAGTCAATCATAATAACACAAGAAACCTCAACTTATGTACACTAATAAAGAAGAAGCAAAAGACTTTTTTTTTTCTTTTTCTTTTTTTGGCCTAACAACCTCAAGTGTTTCTTCCTCCACGGTGTCGTCCCACTTGATAACCGGCAAACTACCCTTTTGCAATACCTCTTTGTATTCTGCATTTTTTTTAGACGATCAATATTATTCTGTGTGTGAAGGAAAAGAAAAGAAGTTTAATTTCCTGCAATTTTCTGAAAATTAACATGATGATAGTACCTTGTGTATGGGGTCTGGAAACTGCATTATATTGCAGATTGGAACTGATATGAACATGTTTTGCGGATGATCTGTTACCTGCAAAAAGATTTGATTTATCTTTTAGCTCGTTATGGATTTAACTTATATACACTGTAAACTGCTCTGGCACTTATAGCACGTCTTGGTGTAGTATGATTTAGAGCAAACAGAAAACTTATTTTGCCGAAAAGTAAAATTTACTAAAACAAAATATTATTAACACAAAGAAGTGTACCCTGAAAATAACAGAAAAATAGGTCAATATATACTCTAATGATATTAAAGTTATCTCATCACTAAGTGATCTCGAGTTAAGACTCTCTCCCTCTGAAAGGAACATTGTGGCAAGAAGGAGTATTAAGTCTGCAGGGAAAAGCCACAAAAAATAAAACAGAGAAAGATAGAAAGAGGCTGATTTGCTATAATATGAAGAAAATAAAAATCACAAGGTTTATGGCACCAAAAAAAAGGAAAATGAATTACAAAACATGAAAAGGACTAATCCCAGTGGAAAAGTGGTTGGAAAGTACTTTTGTGCATCACCGTACAAACATAAAAAGAATTTAATATTAAGAAGAATTTAGAGCTCACTTTTAGAGAACTTAGGAGTTTGATTTGCTGGAGAAGACGATACGTAGTGACGAGAAGTGAAGCATAATCTGAGATAAGAAGCTGAGATCGACATGAACTTCAATCTACTTTTCTCCCTTTTTCAGAAAATTAAACAAAAAACTGATGAGGCAAATTTAATAAAGAAATAGTAATAATCTTTTTCTTCTCTCTCTTGTTTGTCTATAATAGTTTTGGTAGAATTTGTTTTGTTATGAGAATGAAGAAGGGGAGAGGAATCCGTTTATATAAAGAGGAGGTAAAGAAAGCAGACAGAACTGACTTCTCAAGAGATGCCACAAATAGGTGCATGGGATCAAGTTCAACCCAATTTACGAAAATGAGGCTACTCTTTTTTCTTTTCCTGGCACGGTTAATTTCTCACGCATATCAATTTTTTTACAATTAAAATGTTTGTGGTGGGATGAACGGGATATCTTTCGTCCTTAGTCTTGGATAGAGAGCGTTTTCTTTCTTTTTAATGGGTTACGTAATAGTGGCATAATAGCTACTGGTTTTAAAGTCCGAAATAAATAGGCTTACTTTTTTTTCACTTGAATTATAATTACAAGAATCTAGATTTGAGTATCGTGTCGCAAGAAGAAAAAAAAACCAAAGAGGAAGCGTACCTGTCACGCCCCGAACCTGGGGAGCATGACCGGTGCTCAACCGAAGCAAGCCTACTTTACATCAACCTCTCATCATAACTCATGCATGATTTTGCGAGAATAACTGACTAAGTTGTGCCATAAGGGGTCATTCTCCAAACGGGACGGGGCCAAGCCTTTAGGTTGTTTAAGTAGGTTGGGTGACAGATCGGCCATAGGAGTACTCCGGGATATAAACCAGAAACAACAAAAGTGGAGCATACGACGCTGCCGCCCGTTTTCATTTCGTGGAAGTCCCTGGCAAAGGAAAGTTTTGTAGGTGATGGCACGTTCTGCTTCTTATGACTCGAGGGGCGTTGAAATCCTTTCTATTGGTTCTTGCGTGGCAGCTGGTATAGATGATGAAAGGCGGGCCACTTTTTCGGGACCTATTCTCTTAATACGCGACAAAGCGAAATAGGAAAGGGGCCGAGCTGATTGGATAATGAACCTTTTAGAAACGGATCAAATATAAATAAAAATTATATTATTCACTTAGAAAACGGATCTTGCTAACATGGGCGAGCACATCAGAATCTTTTCTTCACACAGGATTTAGCTCTTCCTCGAATAGTTAAAAACTTTTTGAAGAATGACATTGATCATCTTCCTAACCTCCGAATTAGAGCACAAACAAGGAATTTCACTTTTGATTATGGATAGTTATAACATAATAGTTGTACGGTGCTTAGTTTACTTTTGTCTAATTGTAAAGGAGTCCTCAACCAATTTTCTTTTGGTACAACTATCCTGTAGAAAGTTTTTTTGTCTACCATCATCTTGTATTGGAAGCTAAGATTTATGTCCTCTAGCACATACTCTTCTTATGTGATATATACAGGTTGTGGTCAGGCCTAACCCCATACCGATAAAGTGGATAACCAATGACTTTAATTTTTACATTTGTAAAACCTCAAATTGGGGGTTCCTCAAGTTTATCCGCCGGTTAATCCATTTTTCATCCGTATTAAATATGAGTTGGATCGAATAATTTATCAATTTTGCATTACCCGTTTTGACCCGTCCCATATCTGACCTGCCCGTTTGTCACCCCTAATTTTACGCAACACTAATTTTAGATAAATCGGATCAATGACAATGAGTTGCTAATACTACAGTATTATAGCAAAAAAAAAAAAAATTAACGTTATAGACTTAATTAGTCATAAATAAGTTGTATGAAACAAAACAAAACGAGTATTAGTTTTGTAGAAAAAAGGAATGATGTCTGGACAAATGGTGGTAGTTACGTGGACCCTTCTAGGTGAAAAAATTAGAAGAATTGAAAACTAGTAGACTCTATTATAAATATATTATATTATAGATATCCATTTAGTACTTCGTTATAAATAAGGTTCCTAAAGAAGCATATCTATGTTGAACTCCGCCGTAAATATGTTTATCTATTTAGTATATACTCTATTGGAAATAAGCCTCCTGCAGAAGTTCATCATTTCGATACTCCGTTATGAATAAATATTACCCCGATAAAAGATTATCTATAGCTGGTACAATAACAGCTTACACAACAGCTTGCAGTAGCAGCTTACCCAGCACCTTGCACTAGGTGCTCACAAGCACCTTACACAGCAGCTTGCAGTAGCAGCTTACACAGCACCTTGTAGTAGCAACTTACGCAACAACTTCATTTCTTCTATAAATAGAGGAGATTTTAGTTCATTTTATATATCAGTTTGAAGCTGAATGATATATCGATTTCTCTCTATACTTTTCTTTGATTAATTTACTTTATAGTCTTTATTTTATAACACCTTTTCGTAGTTAACGCTCTTTCTAGTGATTCAAGAGAGAAATTTGTTGAGACAAATCATACGGGTATTAAATATAGATTTTCTTTTCTTAACCCGAGATTGTAATGCATGAATTAGTAACGGAATAATTTATATGATAATGCAGAGATCAATACTTCAAAAATTATAATGCAAGGATTATTCGTGCTGAATATTTTGTTTGATATCAGTAGTAGATTACAAATTAGTATAGAACGTACTAGTTTAAAATATATATTAAAAGGTTTTCTACTAGTATTATGAGGCTCGTTTTGTTAGTCTTTTTAATTAACCATACATTAGTAATTAAAATTCTTATTTTATATTTAATTAACATGTAAAATCTATTGTCTATATACCCTATAGTCTTATCCGATTATATTTGGCTGTATACGTGTATGATAAGAGGTATAATAATATTCACACTTCTGTATGATATATAACTGCTTAACATTTGAATTGAATCTGGGAAAAGCTGCAACTCAATTCAACATCACCAACACTATGGAAACTGAAGGTCCTGATCCACATAATGTCACAATTTATTTAACAATTCCACAAACGCATATATAAAATGGTCTTTAATTATGTCTTCATCATACAAGTTAATGATTTTTCTGTTTTATGGCATTATTTAAGATTACTCTTTTTCTGAATTAACTTTTTTTAGTTAAATTCACTTATCTTTTCACTACAATATTATGCATCTATAGCTTACGAAATCTTTGCTACAAATTTAAAAATCATAGCTAATACCTGATAATAGCCACGAAAATTAAAATTCTATGGCTATTTGCAAAACTATAAAACTTCTTTGCCACGAAAATTAAGTTGATAAAGTTAATTCCTCATATTAGCTACAATTGCTAACAATTGTGGCAATAACTACCTAAATAGCTACAAATTTATTGCTACAAATAAAATTTGGTAGCTAATCATAAGTTTTTGCCACGAATCAATAGGTATTGTAGCAATAGTTACCTTTTAGCCACAATAAATTATTTAAAATAAAATATTGTAGCTCAATAAATATTTTTGCTTCAAGTTTTAAAAAGTTATGGCAATAGTTAAATGATATAGTCACAGATTTATTGGTATAATTGAATTATGTAGCTAATCCTTAGTTTTTTGCCACGAGTTGAAAATTACTATAGCTATAGTAACTTTTTAGCCACATAAAATATTTGAAAGAAAATATTGTAGCTAAATGAATATTTTTGCTTTAAGTTATTAAAAGTTGTGGCAATATAGGTTAAATTAGCCACATGTTTCTTGCTTTAATAGAATTTCGTAGCTAATCATTAATTTTTGCCACGAGTTGAAACTTAATATAGCAACAGTAACCTTTTAGTCACAATAAACCATTTAAATCAAATATTGCTAAATAAATAACTTTGCTTCAAGTTCTAAAAAGTCATGGCAGTAGGATCATCACGATAAAATAATATAACCACAGATTTATTGCTACGATAAACTTTGTAACTAATCATTAGTTTTTGCCACAAGGTAAATTTTCCATCACAGTAGCAATCTTCTAGCCACATTAAAAATTTGAAACAAAATTTTGTAGTCAAATAAATATTTATCTTCTTATTTTAAGAAACTAAAAATAGTTAGATAATAGTTACAACTATTTGTCATGACAAACATAATAGACACAATTTAAAGTGACGATAAATTTACAAGTTAACTATAACTTTAGTCGTATATTTAGGATTGTCACTGCAATAATAGTATTTTAACCACAATAAGTAAGGTACAAAAATTCATAGGTGAATATTTTTGTTTCAATAGAGTTGCTCAAATAATATCAAGTTACGAAAAATTCAATTTTAACTATAAAACTTAGATTTTTTTTCAAAATAACAGAAAATACAATAATAATAATAATATATAAATTGAAATATTAATAAACGTTAAATTTGCAAAAGTTAATTTTAATAGATAATTTGTATGCCTAATTGTAGCCTCAAAACCTATCAATTTACTTTTTATTTGTCAAACTCATATATATATATATATATATATATATATATATATATATATATATATATATATATATATATATATATATATATATATATATATATATATGTATGTATATATATATATATGTATGTATGTANATTTTTTTCGTCCTGCACGATATTGTTAGTTTTGTTATTTACTCCTATTTCAATTATATTAACTTCTTAATTTTAGTGCTTAATTAGATTATGATAGTTATTAAGTTATTAAAATAGTATTAAACTATTATATATATAACTTTTCTATTTATCTAACTTGAGTATAATTAGTGATCAATGTACATAGATACAAACATATTGTCTAAATTTGATATTTCTTATTAAATTATAATGAAAACTAATTACATGTTTATTTAAATTGTATAGAAAATTACAAGTATAATTTGTTTATTATGAATTATGATATACTAATTAGTTTTGTTATACACTCCTATACCAACCATATTCGATATTATTAAGTTTCACTTAAAAAAATTAATATTTAATATGGTTGGTATAGGAGTGTATAACAAAACTAATTAGTATATCATAATTCATAATAAACAAATTATACTTGTAATTTTCTATACAATTTAAATAAACATGTAATTAGTTTTCATTATAATTTAATAAGAAATATCAAATTTAGACAATATGTTTGTATCTATGTACATTGATCACTAATTATACTCAAGTTAGATAAATAGAAAAGTTATATATATAATAGTTTAATACTATTTTAATAACTTAATAACTATCATAATCTA